GCGGACCTAATCGGCTCGTCCGGGGCAATATTCGAGCTCGCGACCCCCCTCGCGCCGACCCACTTCCTCCTCCTCGCATCCCTCGGAAACCTCACCAAAGCAGTCGCAAAAGGTCTCAAAGACCCGTCGGCTAGGGTTATCCAGACGCACTTTGCCCTGCAGGCGAATGTGGGGGAGGTGGTGGCAAAGGAGGAGGTGTATAAGGTGATGGCGCAGCTGGTGGGGCTGGGGTGCGGCGTGCTGCTGCTCAGCTCGCCCTACATTGCCGAGTCGTATTGGAGCCTGGTCACCACGTGGGCTGTGATTCGGTCAACTCATTTGGCCTTCCGGTTCAAGTCGCTCTCTGTGCTCGAGTTTGACTCTGTGAGTTGCGGTTGGGTGTCTGAAGGGGAACGGGGAGAGTCGTATTGGAGCCTGGTCACCACGTGGGCTGTGATTCGCTCCACTCACCTCGCTTTTCGGTTCAAGTCGCTCTCCGTGTTCGAGTTTGACTCGGTGAGTAGCGTGTGTCCGGAAGGGTGAGCGGAGTGCGGGGCTCGTTGCTGGGGTATGGCGTGGTGCTGCTGGGTTCTCCGGGCATTGCCGAGTCGTATTGGAGCCTCATCACCACGTGGGCTGTGCTGCGGTCCTCTCACTAGGCCTCATAGTGTATTCAAGTCTCTCTCTCTGCTCGATTTTGACCTAATGAATTGTTGAGTTGAGGGGGTGAGTGGAGTGCGGGCCTCATGGCTGGGGTGTGGCGTGGTGCTGCTGGGTTCGCCCTACATCGCCGAGTCTTGTCGCGTAGAAACAATAGCACTTTTTTTTTTTGTAACTCTGCGGCCTGCCTTTCCCCCTCTTCTTTTCCCCTTTCCCCCTTGGCGGCAGAGCTGCCCTCTGTGCAACCAGTCAATTGACAGGCACGAGCGCCTTTGTTTTTCCCACCAGCCTCACCGACCGACCACTTTCTCCCCTCTACTTCCCCTCAGCTGAGCTTCAAGCGCACAGCCATCCCTGCCAGAACGCATATCTCAGGAGCTGCAGAGCTGCCCTCCGTGCAAGCAGTCAACCGAAGGGAGCACTTCCGGCTTCCCCGCCGCCTCACGTCCATTCCCATCCTTCAACACTCCATCTTCCCCCCTCTAACCTTCAGCTGAATTTCAAGCGCATGGCCATCCTTGCCCGAGCGCACGTCTCAGGGGCAACAGAGCTGCCCTCTGTGCAGGCAGTGAACCAGAAGGAGCGCCTCTGGCTGCCTCGCCGACTGACCTCTCCTCGCATCAACCTCGGCTGCTCCCTTGCTGACTTGTCCGTCCTGCTTGAACAACAGTCAGCCAATCGAATGGTACGGACTCAGCTGTTGAGGTGCCTCACTTATAGACTGACAGGAACGCCTCTAGCTCAGGGGCTGCAATGCTGCCCTCAGTGCAGGCAGTCAACCAGAAGGAGCGCCTCTGGCTGCCTCGCCGCCTCACGTCCCCTCGCATCAACCTTGGTTGCTCCCTTGCTGACTTGTCCGCGCTGCTCGAACAACAATCGGCCAACCGAATAGTGAGATTTTCTGTTGTTGGAGGAGGGAGGGGACTTTTGAGTAGACTCAAAAGTAACCGAATAGTGAGATTTTCTGTTGTTAGAGGAGGGAGGGAGGACGGAGGGGAGTGGGGGGGAGAGGGGGGGGGGGCTGCTGTTCGTCTGTTTATCTCTGCCTGGTGGTCTCTTCATTCTCAGACTCTCCTTGTCTCATTCTCACGCAATCGCATACCTCGTCAACAGTCTCTTCTCACGCAATCGCATACCTCGTCAACAGTCTCTTCTCACGCAATCGCATACCTCCAGCCAGTCACTACACCAGGCGAGCAGGATCTATGACTTTTGAGACGTCTCAAATGTAGCTCGGGGAGGAGGAGTACCCGTCTCAGTCCTTTTGAGTTGTCGCAAAGAAAAGTACTCTGGAGAAGCAATAAGCAACCTTTACCCGCCTCAATCCTTTCCGTTGCATCTCTCCCTCTCCCTCTCGATGTTATCCCTTGTCTCTAAACTGCGTCCACGTGTCATCTTCCAGCCAATCACGGAGCTCCTGGCACTGTATCGAGACGAGCAGCATGTGCTTCTAATGGATGATACCGGTGCATTTTCTGTCATCTTCAAGGTACCCTATCTTGCTTTGAAACGTCTCAAAACAAAACGTGTGTTCTGTCATCTTATCTTACTTTGAGACGTCTTCAAACGTCTTTTCTGTCATCTTATCTTGCTTTGAGATGTCTCCAAACGTTTTTTCTGCCATTTTCAAGGTGCCCTATCTTGCTTCTTCTCCTCCCCTGTCCCCGCTCTCTTCCCTTTCTCTCCTTCAGCCTAGCCGTTGCTTGCTCTCCCTCTTCCGTTACTGTATTACAGCCTCTTCCATTGCAGCCTAGCCGTTGCTTGCACCTCCTATACTCAGTCCAACCCCCTATTCTCTCCACTTTTCCGTAATCCTAACCACGTACCACCTTCCCCGCTTCACCCTCTCACCCAACCCCCTTTCCACTCATCGTTTTTCTACTCCCCCTCCTCTCTCTACTATCCTCCACGAATGTCGGCAGCAAGGAGCATCAAAGGGGACGGTTCTGAGGGTGGTGTGGCAGGCGTGCTGGCTGCAGCAGCAGAGGAGGGAGAGAAGAAGGGAGCATGGGGCAGATGGGGAGGAGGTCCACTCTGATTTGGCTGACAGAAGCGGCGGCAGCAGAAGTGGTGGCGTTGGCAATAGCAGCAGCAGCAGTGGTGGTATTGGCATTCTTCAAGAGTCTCTGAACGCGCTAGGCAGTGAGTTTGAGGGGTTTCTTGGCAAGGCGTCCGCTGCTGGGTGGGACACCAACACTCTCGTGGCAAAGGTGCCGCCCTCCGCCCCTCTGCTCATGCTGTAATTCGGAGCTGCCTGGGTGCGGGGCATAATTGGTCTTTTGCAAGCCTCTCTACATGTGCTAGGCAGGGAGTATGAGGGGTTCCTCGCCCAGGAGACCGCTGCAGGGTGGGACACCAACACTCTCCTGGCAAAGGTGCCGTCCTCCGCCCCTCTGCTCATGCTGTGATCCCAAATGGCCTCGTGGTCTCGCTCGCTGCTGTTCCTCTCAGCAGGAGTTTGAGGGCTTCCTTGCCAAGGCAGCTGCTGCAGGGTGGAACACCAACACACTGGTAGCCAAGGTGCCTCCTTCTGCCCCTCTGCTCTGTAAGGCTGCAATCGCCAGGAGTTGCCACGGTAGACTTGCTGCTGTGTCTTGGATGACTTTACCTGCTGCTTTTATCAGGTAACAGGGCAAGCTTGATGGGCCATATGACGAAGCATTGCCGCAGCAGCAAAATTGAGGTTATTGTGTAACCAGCCATGGCTGGGAGAGTAGGGCCACTATACTTGTTTATTCAATGCCTTACATTATGTAATTTAATTCATTGGAACATTGACTAGCCTTGAAATAATAAAACAGGACTACTGTACTACACATGATTCTTCAACTCTTACTATACTGGACGGGGGGAGGGGGGGAAATGAGGCTGACTGCACTACCATCTTCAGGCGATCTAAAAAACAAAGATAAACGGAAAGCAACCTTTCCTTCCCAGTATTCCTAGAGCCTCTAGGCAAACCAACTTCTACGAAAATAACTAGGCAGACTACAGCTTGCAGCTAAGATGTGTGCACACGTACGTGTACCGTCAACAGCCGTATCACGTCTCATCTTGCATATCACAGGACAGGAGAGGACTGCGTCACTGCGCATGACCATGTGACTTTTGAGTCGACTCAAAAGACAGGACAGGAGAGGGCTGCGTCACTGCGCATGACCATCAACTAGCCATGTCTGCAGCATTCAACAGCAATCACCAGCACCACAGCCAACAGCGGTCAACAGTTCACCACGGTCCATGGCGGTACACATCAGTCAATGGAGGTGAAGATGGCTTCTAGTCTCTCCACTGATGCGTACAGCCGCCCCACAGCAGGTCAGCAGCAGTTCACCACGGTCAAAAGCAGCCAACAGCGGTCAACAGCGGTGAACGTCAGTCAATGGAGGTGAAGATGGCTTCTAGTCTCTCCACTGACGCGTACAGCCGCCCCACATTCAGCCCCAGAATAGGTTCCCCTGTGCCCAAGGCTCTGATGATGGGGCGAGTTATTTGAGACATGAGGGGGCATGAGATACAAGAGAGGAAATAGACATGAGGGGAGAGTGAGGGCACAAACTCAGCCCTAGAATGGGCTCCCCTCCCCCGTACCCAGCGCTCCGGTGATGGGTGCGACTTTTGAGAATTCTCATAAGTCACACCAATTGGGCTCCCCTACCCAGTATCCAGTGCTCCGAGGAGAGGGGCAACAGAAGAAAGAGGAAAAGAGGGAGCTGGTTCTTGAGGGTTTTCAAAAACTAGAATGGGCTCCGCTCTCCCGTACTTTTGAGACGTCTCAAAAACTAGAATGGGCTCCGCTCTCCCGTACCCAGCGCTCCAGTGATGGGGACAGGGACAACAGAAGACAGAGGAAAGGAGAACGATACACAGAGCGAAATAACCAAGAAGAGTGCTTGAACAAGCCCTGTAAGACTCACCCATGCATGTCAGGCGGCACGCATTCGGCATTCCACCCCACGCTCACATCCACCCATGCATGCAGGGCAGCACATGACCTCACCCATGCATGTCATGACAACCATACACCTTCAAGACTCACCCATGCATGTCTGGCAGCACATATTCTGCATTCCACCCCACGCGCACATCCACGCCCGGGCACACAGGCAGGTTGTGCTTATAACGAATCTCCGAGGGCGTGTTCCCATTCAGCGCGGAGGTGAGTTTCCATTTCCACCCTGTTGCGTTGTGCTTGAAGTCATGCCCAATGCCCACCTGTGGGAGTCAAGGGGAGAGAGAAAGAGGTTGGGGAGAAGGCTTGAGGGGTGAAATAAGGTGGTCAGGGAGGGAGAGGAGGGGTGAAAAGGAAACTGAGGTGAGTTTCCACTTCCACCCCGTTGCGTTGTGCTTGAAGTCATGCCCTATGCCCTCCTGTGGGAGAGTAGGGGAGGGGTGGGGAGAGAGAAGGGGGGTGGGAAAGGAAAAGGGGGGTGTGGAGGGGGGTGGGAAGGGAGAATGGGGATGGGGAGGGACAAGGGTAATGAAGTGGGGACTTTAGTGAGGTGAGTTACCACTTCCACCCCGTCGCGTTGTGCTTGAAATCGTGCCCAATGCCCACCTGTGGGGGAAAAAGGGCAAGCGCAAGGGGGTGGGTGGGGTGAAGGGTGAGGGATGAGGGTTGAAATAAGGGGGGTGGGAAGGGAGAAAGGGGATGAAATGAGCACGGAGGTCAATTTCCATTTCCACCCCGTCGCGTTGTGCCTGAAGTCATGCCCTATGCCCACCTGTGGGAGAGAATTAGAGAGAGAGGGGTGAGGGGTGAGGAAAGGGTGAGGGGTGAGAGAGGAGGGGGAAAGGGATGGAGGCTTGGGGAGGGGGGGAGAATAGGAGAGTCAAATAAAGGGATGGTATAACAACCCTACAGGTGCCCACTTATCACAGCCACAACTGGCCACACTACACCGTACACCACCTGCATTGCACCACATATCACCGCACTGCACACCTGCAGGTTGAGCAGCCCCATGATGGGGATCTTGCGGGTGAGGAAGCGGATGTCCCCTGCTGAGGCTCAAAGGTAAGTTCCAACATACCACCATGACGACCACACCCACCATAACCGCACCTGATCGCACCAGAACGCACAGCACCACACTGCATGGCACACCACCGCCCGGCACCGCACTGCACCACACCTGCAGGTTGAGCAGCCCCATGATGGGGATCTTGCGGGTGAGGAAGCGGATGTCTCCCCGCTGCGGCTCAAAGACGACCCTCCAAACCAGCCCCAACCGCACCTGACCGCACTGCACCGCACAGTACCGGACTGCACCATACCGCACCACCTTGCACCGCACCGCACACCTGTAGGTTGAGCAGCCCCATGATGGGAATCTTGCGGGTGAGGAAGCGGATGTCCCCCCGCTGTGGCTCAAAAATCACCTTCCACTTCCGATCCGTGATGTTGGGCTTTAAGACCAACTTCAGGTTCGCGCTGTTCACCTGTTCGCAGAAAAGGGGTGGAGGACAGACAGACATCAGCCTGATTCCACTTGCAGTCCGTAATGTTGGGCTTTAACACCAGCTTCAGGCTCGCAGAGGGTGCAGTGGGGGGGAGCATACAGCGACAACAGTTCACTTGCGGTCCTTGATATTTGGGCTTTAACACCAGCTTCAGGCTCTCGCTGCTCAACTGTAGATAAGAGCGGGTGTAGTGTAATGTTGTGGACAAGAGGCACGGGAGTTTTGAGAATTCTCAAAACAAGGATGTCTTTCCACTTGCGGTTCATGATATTTGGGAAAAAAAGGGTGGACGGGCGGCAGCACGGGCCTTGGGGGAGAGGGAGAGGGTGGAGAGCTGGGGGGGTGGGCGAGCCTACACCCGAGCTTGACGCTGGTGCCGAGCTTGTACTGCAGGAAGCGACTCCCTCCACCCACCCACCACCCCAATGCTCTCTTCAATGCTCACCTGAAAACCCCATAGGGAGAGTGGGTTGTGCTTGGGCGCAGGAGCCGCCTTGGGCGAGAGGGAAGCAGTGAAAAGCTATGGAGGATCCAGCTTCCGCCGGAGTTCCAAATTGGCCCCGAGCTTGTACTGCATGAAGCGCTGGCGGAACTTGAAGAACACCTCCTTGGGCTTCCACTCCACCTGATACATATCCCCCTCCCCTCCCCTTCCCCCTCCCCCACCCAGGCCCACTCCCCTTCCCCCGTCCACCCCCCTCAATCCCCCGCCCCCTGCCCTCAAATGCTCACCTGGAAACCCCACAGCGACAGCGGGTTGTGCTTGGGCGCAACAGGGGCCTTCGGAGAAAGGGAGGTAGTCGAAAGCTGTGGGGGATCCAGCCTGCGCCTGAGCTCCACGTTGGCCCCGAGCTTGTACTGCATGAAGCGCTGGCGGAACTTGAAGAACACCTCCTTGGGCTTCCAGTCCACCTGGTACATCTCCCGCCACCACGCCCACGCCTCCTCCCCCTCCCCCCCCATCCCCTCCGCCTGCCCCGCCACGGATCCCGCTCCGCCCAGACTCCCCCTCCCCTGGCCCCACCCTTCTCCCCCTCCGCCTCCCCATCCGCCTCCGCCTCCGCCTCCCCCGAGCGTCGTCCCTGATAGGCCTGAGGCGTCTGGCTCGTTAGAGTAGGAGGGGCTGATGCGGAGAGGTCCCCCCCTCCGCGCCCCTCCCCCCGCCCCTCCCCCTGCGCCGCTGGCTACCCCAGGGTAGTACTGCTGCTGCTGGGGAAGGTTAGGGTACTGCGGCTGCTGGTGCGGCTGCTGGTGTGGCTGCTGGTGTGGCTGGTGCTGATGATGGTGGTGGTGGTGACGGTGGTGGTGGTGTTTCGCCCCTGATCCTCGGCTGCGGGATGAAGGGTAGGCTACACCTGCAGATGCCCCTACACCTGCAGCAGCAGCAGTAGCTGTGGCAGCAGATGCGCCTGCCCCAGAAGAGCCTGCTCCAGGTACGGGATAGCCAGGCGGGTTGCCTGTAGGCGTGTAGCGAGGGTCCTCGGGCTGGGAAATACCCCACAAAAGGACGGGGAAATTGGGAAAATTGCCACTTTGAAATATTAGTACTCTGGGATATTACCGCGTAGGAACGGCAGGTGGTAGGAGGAGCAAAGGACAGATAGATTGTAGATAGCTGATAGACTGGCCGCTTGGAATCGTCAGTTGGACTCTGTTTTGCCATAACCATTTACTTAACTGTACAAAAAACAAAAATACTCTAACCGTGTCATTACCAATAGACCGCATTAGGCATTACTTACCACATAGCTTGACGACGCGCCGGGCCCACCGAACTGGCCATCACGCGGAGTGGAGAAATGAACGTTGTCGTACGTCCGATCCCACTGTTCCCATCTCCGCCCTCCGTTCGCCGTCGCCGTTGATCCAACGGCTGTCGACGCGCCGTACTGCGCTGGTGCGCCGCTGGGAGCTCCGGGAGCTCCCGAACCTGATGTGGAGGTTCGTACAGGATCCGCGCTGGGAAATGGAAAGCGAGGTGTCAGCGGAAACAGCGAAAGCGGCAGGAGATTCTAAGAGAAGCAATACACAGACGACCATCAGGCTGTGAGCATTCGCTCAAAGTTAATGACAATGCTATATTGTTCGTACGCGACGGTTCGTCCTTAACATTTCGTCATTAACGGCTCGTCGTTCGCGGTTCGCACTAACGCGGTCCTAGTTATTATTCAGGTAGTACCTTGATTTATCGCGGAACGAGTCTGCTCGGCTCTCCCAGATGGCCAGTCGGCGTCGCACGCCCCAGCCTCCGTCCGCCATGGCAACTAAGAGTCTCAGACGGACAGTGACGAATAAAAGTCGAAGTCCGACAGTCACAAATAAGAGTCTCAGTCAGACAGTGACGACGCTTTCGCTACGCAGCGGCCGAATGAGAGCGCACCGAAATTGCGATAGGGGAGTGATGGACAGTTAGCTGGAATGACAGGTAAGTGAATGGCCAGCGACACTGGGTAATAGATAAGAATATTTCAGGCAATGACCAGCTGCTGTCCACGCAGCAGGCAGGCGGCACGCCACTCCCCGCACGAGGTGATTAGGCTTTTTGGAGCTTCTGAACTTGTCATTGGATGCAAAACATGTCATCTGGAAACGTTCATTACCCGTAACATACTTATTTGTACCACTACAAACCACCGGATTAAACTTTGTGTCGTCAATTAGGGCGTGGCACCATTTTGATTTTTAGTGCTTTTTCGGACGGTCCACAAATTTCGTATCGGACCGTCCAAATATCGAGTACCGGACAGTCCGTTGTGAAAATTCGAAACTTTGCACAGTTCAGATGCAAAGCTGTCACTTTTCTGAGTCTAGGGTTTTGACGAGGTACTGTAGCCTCGCCATGAAAACTGTACAGTCGTTACCAAATTCACGACTGCTCGCAACATTCGCCAATCAGCATACGCGACTCGAACACCAACAAAAACAGTTTTCCTGCACACCAAACATCCCTCGACATTGAACCAAGTACGAGGTGGAGGAATTGGCGAGGAGTTGGGTGTGGTGGGTCGCGGTTCCGTTCCCTATCTGCACAAGAGTGGTCCTTTGTGATGGTTCGGTTCGGATTTGTGGGGGTTTTGTAGCCCAGCAGCTCGGTTCGATGTCACCGTCCAATGTTTGAGTTCGAGTCGCGTGCCCCAAAAATTAGACGAGGCGACTCGGTTTTTTGTTTTTGTGCTGTTCGCGCGCCAATCCCGTAGCAGCACTGTTCTTCCGTCCGTCCGGTATTCGAACCGCCAAAAGTTCAGAGTCTGAACCGTTGTTAGGAGGGAAAAGTGACGCAACAGTTCGAACCGTTGGCGACGTCGCAAATACTTTCACGAAACTATTTCTGAAGTTAAACGAAGCTGGTAACTCTTTCGCAGTTCGGACCGTCCACTGTTCGAACCGTCGGGAGAAAAATGGTGCCACGCCCTTACCGTACTTGAATTCTGTGAACCATCAGTGCCAGACCTGACGCATTGATGTTGCCGCGCAGAACTCCAGCGTGCGCAGCCTTGAAATGTATGGAGCCGAGGGGGAGAGGGAAAATGGCTCACGCGCACAGGTAGGTTTGGCGCGAAGGAATGGTTGGCGGGGCGGAGTCAACAGTTGAACTGCCCCGAGCGACAAGGCTCGTCATCGCCCAAAGACCATTCTCATTTCGTAGTAACAGATTTCGCCAATCGCAGTGCCCAATCAATGAGGGTTCCTTGCCTCAGGAGCTGACAAGACGACGCTCTGCGATTCATTACCTTCCTGACCAAAATCAAGCTCGATCGTTTCAGGGCGCGTTTGTCAAAATCCGTGACGCTGACGGTCTCAGCAGAGGAGTTACGGATTTCGGAATTCCGACCTGAATACAAAGTAAAGCGTATAGCTTCACTGCAATAACAGGACTTCCATTTCGAGACTCTTTCTGAAACAACAAAAAGAAGCATACGACCCAAGGATAAATCGCAAAACCAGATTCCTGGAGATTCCGACTTACCTCCCTCCGTGCCATCGCCATGCATGCACCCATACTTTCCATTCACCATCCCAATCTGCACGCACCTCTCTACTCCATTTGTCATACATTCCACTTCCCATTCACGGCTGCGTGCCGCCACCGACCATCACTATTTCCATCAATCAACGACCTCATTCCGATCTCACTCCACCTGAGCCAGCCGTTTGAATGTCTGCAGCCCGCATCCAGCGGATAGCTCCGGGGATTAAATCCCTCTTTCGCGCCTCCCCCGCCGAGACTAGCTATTCCAGACTCCACCAATCGTGCTCTCTAGCCGCTACTGTGGGTTTCAGCCCCTTTTCGTGTCGCCCTTCATCTGGCGCGTCGCCCGCGCTTTCCGAAAGACCTGCCGCCTCGTCGCCGCTTACCGAAAGCCGCACCGCGGTTGCCGGAGTCGTCCATCAGTCTCGCGACATAAATCGAACCGTTCATTCTCTGAGCCCTTGCATTTCTGTTGCAGCTCGACACGACTCGCGCTGCTCTCCTTCGCAAAGCGTCCCCGCGTCTCAAGCCGTCGTCTCCGCGTGCACGCGAAGCTTCGCGGCGTTCGGAATGGCGGCGCCTAAAGAGATCTCGTCCAATAAGATGTTCGGCGGCGTGAACAAGCGCTACGAGCACGAGAGCGCGACTCTCGGGTGCACCATGAAATTCTCCATCTACTTCCCGCCCGCCGCTACCTCCTCGCGCGTCCCGGTACAAATAAGCCTATAGAACTCTCACCTCGTTGCGCTTGTTTCGTCCACATCTCGGCCTGTCGCCTCGTGCGTTGTCCCCACACACCCTCCCCACACACCCCTTCTCTTCGCCCTCGCAGGTGATCTACTGGCTCTCGGGTCTCACCTGCATGGACGAGACTAGTCGTGATCCGCTCCCCCACTACCCAACTTCCCCACCCTCCTCTCTCCCTTCTCCCCACTAACAGGTGATCTACTGGCTCTCGGGTCTCACCTGCACCGACGAGAACTTCATTCAAAAGTCGTTCGCGCAGAAATACGCCTCAGAGCACGGGGTCGCCCTCATTGTCCCCGACACCTCGCCCCGTGAGCACCCCCACCCCCCCATCCCTCTCCCCCCCTTCCCCCCGTGTGTTTTGAGTCGGCTCAAAATACGCCTCAGAGCACGGGGTCGCCCTCATTGTCCCCGACACCTCGCCCCGTAAGCTCCCCCACCCACCCCCCCCCTCACCTTAACCCCTCTCTCTGCACGCGCCGGCCTGGCAATGCGCGCAAGCCTGCCTCAGAGCACGGGGTCGCGCTCATTGTGCCTGACACCTCGCCCCGTAAGCTACCTCCTCCTCCCCACCCCCCCCCCCCACCCCCCGTGTGTTTTGAGTCGGCTCAAAATACGCCTCAGAGCACGGGGTCGCCCTCATTGTCCCCGACACCTCGCCCCGTAAGCTTCCCCACCCACCCCCCCCTCACCTTAACCCATCTCTCTGCACGCGCCCCCCTGGCAATGCGCTCAAGCCTGCCTCAGAGCACGGGGTCGCCCTCATTGTCCCCGACACCTCGCCCCGTAAGCTCCCCCACCCACCCCCCCCCTCACCTTAACCCATCTCTCTGCACGCGCCGGCCTGGCAATGCGCGCAAGCCTGCCTCAGAGCACGGGGTCGGCCTCATTGTCCCCGACACCTCGCCCCGTAAGCTGCCCCATCCTCCCCCTGAAGCTGCCGTGCAAGCTCCCTCTCCTTCTCACAGCACCTTCCCTGCGCGCCCAAGCCGGCCTCAGAGCACGGGGTCGCGCTCATTGTCCCCGACACCTCGCCCCGTAAGCTGCATTACCTTTCTCTTAAGCTGCATTTCCCTAAGTACGCGAATGCCCTTTTCGAGGGTAAAACTGGAACTGTTGTTGAATATATGGCCTTCAATCAGTGAAGTCACACTCTCAGAGAATGCCCAATACACCTTAATATGCTATCGTTACTGGTGCTACGCCTATGGCATTTTAATGCCTTCTTCGCCACTTGTTTTCGCATTTTTCTTTCCCTGCTCAGGTGGGTTGAAGGTGGAAGGAGAGTCAGACAATTGGGATTTCGGAGTGGGTGCCGGCTTTTATGTAAACGCCACGGTTCCCAAGTGGAAGAACTGGCAGATGTACGACTATGTGACTGAGGAGCTACACCGGATCTTGTCCGCCCACTACACTAATCTGGACATGCAGCGGTGCAGCTTAATGGGTCACTCTATGGGGGGACACGGCGCGCTGATTATCTTCTTCAGAAATTCCACCAAGTATAAGGCGAGTGTTTCTGTTGGAAGTTACTGAGTAAAGTGGATTTGGATGCAGCAGTGCAGCTTAATGGTTCACTCCATAACGATTCATCTGCTGCTAACTATCTCCATTAGAAGTCCCACTCGGGGAGCCTTAAGGCCTTCGCTCACTGCCCTCGTCCCGCTACTGAGAAGTCTCCAAAGTGCCTTTTTAAGCGCCCTATCTGTTTTCCCTGTTCCCCACTTCCCCTCCAATCCGTGTCCGCATTCGCCCCCATCTGCAACCCCACGGAGTGCCCCTGGGGGCAGAAGGCTTTCTCTTGCTGCCTTCTTTTCACCTTCCACGCTGAACGCCCCATTTGATTCCCCTGTTTCCCCCGTGTTTCCCCCTCCTCCCCCTTTTCTCACTTCCCCTCCAGTCCGTGTCCGCATTCGCCCCCATCTGCAACCCCACGGAGTGCCCCTGGGGGCAGAAGGCCTTCACGGGGTATTTGGGGGACGATAAGGCAGCCTGGGAGGTGAGTCGAGTCGGTTGGGAGTGGTTGGGCTGGGCTGGGCTGCAATCCCACTGAGTAAGGGGAAATACAGCTCAGCCTGGGGGCAGAAGGCCTTCTCAGGGTACTTGGGAGAGGACAGAGCAGCCTGGGAGGTGAGCCCAATGGGTTGGGTTGGGTTGGGCGGTTTTCCATTCAACTTAATGATCACCTTTTCAGGGCATTTGTGCGAGGACAGAGCAGTCTTGGAAGTGAGGCGGATAAGAGTGGGTGGGCGGCTCATAAGCTCACACGTGATAAAAAGTTGAGTTTTGAGACGTCTCAAAACTCGACTTTTATCACTTGAAATCACATTTCGTTGAAACTCTTGGGAGAGGACAGAGGAGCCTGGGGGGTGAGCTGGCTGGGTTGGGTTGCTGAGTTGGAAGGTGGTTGGGCTGGGTTGGGTTGATAAGTTGTCACATGGTTGGGAGGGAATTAGAGCGGGAGTGACCTACTTGCGTCTTCCTACTTCCCTCTCATCACTTCTCCCTCATCTCGTCCCGCTCATATCTTCCCCCTTATCCC